AGATGGAAGGGCTCCTAGGCCAAATGGCTATCACCAGAGAAAATAAAATCTCAGTAAAGGAAGTAGACCAATTAATTACTAAGCAAATGCAAAATTAAATCAACTACCCATAACATCAGTCAAGAGATACACAAAGAGAACAGAATATGCTGTGACACCTAATATACAAAGAATGGAGAAAGAAGAAAAAGAAGGAAGTAAAAAAAAAAAACCTTTAGATTGTGTTTGAAATAGTGTAATAAATGAGTTAAGTTAGACTGTTAGACTGTTAGATAGTAAAGAAGCTGTCCTTGAACCTTTGGTAACCACAAATCTAACACCTACAATGGCAATAAGTACATATCTGTCAATAATTACCCTAAATGTCAATGGGCTGAATACACCAATCAAAAGATATAAAGTGGCAGAATGGATAAAAAAACAAGACCCACCTATATGCTGCCTAAAAGAGACTCACTTCAAACCCAAAGACATACACAGACTAAAACTGAAGGGATGGAAAAAGATATTTCATGCAAATAATAGGGAGAAAAAAGCAGGAGTAGCAGCACTTACATCGCACAAAATAGATTTCAAAACAAAGAAAGTAACAGGCAAAAGAAGAACATTACATAATGATACAGGGGTTGCTTCAACAAGAGGATATAACCACTATACATATCTATGCACCCAATATAGAGGCATCTAAATATGTGAAACAAATACTAACAGAATTAAAGGGCAAAATAGAATGCAATGCACTCATTCCAGGAGACTTTAACACACCACTCACTCCAAAGGACAGATCCACCAGACAGAAAATAAGAAGACAGAGGCACTGAACAACACACTAGAACAGACGGACCTAACAGACATCTACAGAACAATCCACCTAAAAGCAGCAGGATACACATTATTCTCAAGTGTACAGAACATTTACCAGAATAGATCAGATACTAGGCCACAAAAAGAGCCTCAGTAAATTCAGAAGGCCTGAAATTGTACCAACCAGCTTCTCAGACCACAAAGATATAAAACTAGAAATAAACTATACAAAAATAAATCCTGGAGGAGATTAAAGATGGTGGCGTGAGAGAAGAGACAGAGGCTTCCTCCTAAAATTGTATACAATTAGAAAATATGGTTGGTGCAACTAATCCTTAGAGAGCAACAGGGAAGAGGACAGTGCCAGACTGCACACACCTGGAGAAAGAGCAGGCCACATGGAACAGGGTAACGTACCAGAGCCGTGGCCCGGCGGGACCAGAGCCCCTACCCCACCCCAGCTCACGGTGGGAGGAAGAGAAACAGCAGGGAGGGAGTGGAAGGCCTGGGGCTGCTGAATACCTAGCTCCGGAGATCAGCTCTGGGAGCACAAACCTACATTTCATGGTGCTTGCATGATACTTGTGTGATTACGGGGTTGGAAAGTTAAGACAGGCAGAATTCCTGGAGAGACTGAGATTCCAGCCACTTGTGGAAAGCAGGAAAATATTAGCAAACCGAATTCAAAAATACATCAAAAAGATCATCACCATAATCAAGTGGGATTTATTCCAAGGATGCAAGGATGGTACAATATTTGAAAATTCATCAACATCATACACCACATCAACAAAAAGAGGACAACAATCACATGATCATCTCCATAGGTGCTGACAAAGCATTTGACAAAATTCAACATCCATTCATAAGAACTCTCAGCAAAATGGGTATAGAGGGCAAGTACCTCAACATAATACAGGCCACGTACGACAAACCCACAGCCAACATTATACCTAACAGTGAAAAGCTAAAAGCTTTTCCTCTAAGATTGGGAACAAGACAAAGATGCCCACTCTCCCCACTTTTATTCAACATAGTACTGGAGGTCCTAGTCACGGCTATCAGACAGCACAAGAAATAAAAGGTGTCCAGATTGGTAAGGAAGAAGTTTAACTGTCACTGTTTGCACATGACATGATATTGTACGTAAAAAATCCTAAAGAACCCATCCAAAAACTACTAGAACTAAATAACTGAATTCAGCAAAGTTGCAGGATACAAAACCAATACAGAAATCTGTTGCATTCCTATATCAGGAAAACAATTCCATTTACAATTGCATCAAAAAGAGTAAAATACCTAGGAATAAACTTACTGAAGGAGGTGAAAGACCTATACCCTGGAAACTATAAGACACTCATGAGAGAAGTTACAGAAGACACCAATAAGTGGAAATATATACCATTCTCATGGATAGGCAGAATTAATATTGTCAAAATGGCCATCCTGCCTAAAGCAATCTATAGATTCAATGCAATTCCTAACAAAATACCAACAGCATTCTTCAATGAACTAGAGCAAACAGTTCTAAAATTTATATGGAAAAAAAAAGACCCCGAATAGCCAAAGCAATCCTTACAAGGAAGAATAAAGCAGGGGGGATTACATTCCCCAACTTCAAACTCTACTACAAAGCCACAGTAATCAAAACAATTTGGTACTGGCACAAGAACAAACCCATGGATGAATGGAACAGAATAAAGAGCCCAGATATAAACCCATCCATATATGGCTAACTAATATATGATAAAGGAGTCATGGATACACAATGGGGAAATGACAGCCTCTTCCACAACTAGTGTTGACAAAACTGAACAGCTACATGTAAGAGAATGAAACTGGATTACTAAGTCCATACACAAAAGTAAATTCAAAATAGATCAAAGACCTAAATGTAAGTCATGAAACCATAAAACTCTTAGAAGAAAACATAGGAAAAAATCTCTTGAATATAAACATGAGCAACTTTTTCCTGAACACATCTTAAGCAAGGGAAACAAAAGCAAAAATGAACAAATAGGACTACATCAAGCTAAAAAGCTTCTGTACAGCAAAGGACACCATCAGCAGAACCAAAAGGCATCCTACAGTATGGGAGAATATACTCATAAGTGACATATCCAGTAAGGGGTTAACATCCAAAATATATCAAGAACTTATATACCTCAACACCCAAAAAGCAAATAACCTGATTACAAAATGGGTGGAGGGTCTGAGCAGACACTTCTCCAAAGCAGAAATTCAGATGGCCAACAGGCACATGAAAAGATGCTCCACATCCTTAATTATCAGGGAAATGCAAATTAAAATCACAATGAGATATGACCTCACACCAGTTAGGATGGCCAACATAAAAGACTAGGAACAACAAATGCTGGCGAGGATGCGGAGAAAGGGGAACCCTCCTACACTGCTGGTGGGAATGTAAATTAGTTCAACCATTGTGGAAAGCAATATGGAGGTTCCTCAAAAAACTAAAAATAGAAATACCATCTGACCCAGGAATTTCACTCCTAGAAATTTACCCTAAGAATGCAGGATCCCAGTTTCAAAAAGACATATGCACCCCTATGTTTTATCATAGCACTATTTACAATAGCCAAGAAATGGAAGCAACCTAAGTATCCATCAGTAGATGAATGGATAAAGAAGATGTGGTACATATATACAGTGGAATATTATTCAGCCATAAGAAGAAAACAAATCCTACCATTTGCAACAAGAGGGTATTATGCTCAGTGAAATAAGCCAGGCGGAGAAAGACAAGTACCAAATGATTTCACTCATCTGCGGAGCATAAGAACAAAGCAAAAACTGAAGGAACAAAACAGCAGCAGACTCACAGAATCCAAGAATGGACTAACAGTTGCCAAAGGGAAAGGGACTGGGGAGGATGGGTGGGAAAGGAGGGAGAAGGGGAATAAGGGGCATTACGATTAGCACACATAATGTAGGTGGTGCACGGGGAAGGCAGTATAGCACAGAGAAGACAAGTAGTGTCTCTATAGCATCTTACTACGCTGATGGACAATGACTGTAATGGGGTATGTGGTGGGGACTTGATAATGGGGGGAATTTAATAACCACAATGTTACTAATATAACTGTATATTAATGATACCAAAAAATAAAAAAATAAAAAACCACAATGACATATCACCTCACACCAGTTAGGATGAACAACATCCAAAAGACAAGGAATGACAAATGCTTGCAAGGATATGGAGAAAGGGGAACCCCCCTACACTGTTGGTAGGAATGTAAATTTTAGTTCAACCATTGTGGAAAGCAATACAGAGACTTCTTAAAAATCTAAAAATAGAAATACCATTGGACCCAGTAACTCCACTCCTAGGAATTTACCCAAAGAAAACAAGATCCCAGATTCAAAAAGACATATGTACCCTGATGCTTATTGCAGCACTTTACAAAAGCCAAGATATGGAAGCAACCTAAGTGTCCATCAGTAGATGAATGGATAAAGAAGATGTGGTAAGTATATACAATGGAATATTATTCAGCCATAAGAAGAAAAGAAATCCTACCATTTGCAATAACATGGATGGAGCTAGAGGGTATTATGCTCAGTGAAATAAGCCAGGTGGAGAAAGACAAGTATCAAATAATTCCACTCATTTGTAGAGTATAACAAGAAAACAAAATTGAAGAAACAAAACAGCAGCAGACGCATAGACTCCAAGACGGGACTAGCAGATACAAAAGGGGAGGGGTGGGGAGGAAGGGTAGGGAGGGAGGGAGAAGGGACTAAGGGGCATTGTAATTAACACACACAATATAGGTAGGTCACGAGGAAGGCAGTACAGCACAGAGAAGACAAGTAGTGACTCTGTGGCATCTTACTACACTGATACAGTGACTGCAATGGGGTGTATGGGCGGGACTTAATAATATGGGTGATTGTAGTAACCACAGTGTTGTTTATGTGAAACCTTCATAAGATTGTATACCAATGATACCTCAATTAAAAAAAATGAGGCAAGTACCAACTAAAGGAAAAGTTCAAAGCCACACAATCAGGGCACTGGATTTGGGGTGCTCTACCTGGATCAAGAATGCAATACATTTGTATACTGAAAATGACCATTTAGCTAAATATAGGGATATAATCATATTCAAAAGTTGGAGAGAAGATGGGCTGTAAAAGCTAATAAACATCAAGTATCATACAAATAAATATACAATGCTGAAAATTTTTAATTAAGATAAAAACACAGCACTTAGAAACTTAGAAATACAAAAGTATTAGGAGAAAGAGCTAAGAGTTGAACATCACTGCTTCTGTATCATGGGAGAGTAGTTCTTTTTGTTGTGGCTAGGAGTCTTTGATATATTTGATTTTTTAATTATTGCATATATTGCTTGATACATTTTAAAATAAAAAAACAGTATTGATACTACCTATAAGTTATTTCAATTAGCCCACACAATTATGTCTTTAGCTGGGATTTTTCTTTGTTTGGTGAAAAAAATAAGTTCCTAATGTGATGTTAGGTTTCTACTTTGAGAAAAACCTCATCCTTGGTTTAATAGAGGGGGCAAGTATGCCCTTAGGCCCATGTCATGAACGTGGATCGCACAGTCCTGAGGCAATGGGAAATGCCTGTTTTCCAACAGTCAGATGACTGCAAGCACAAGAACACAGACGACCAGGGCTAAGGCAACATCGATGGCCTCTCCCTTCCTGTGCCTCCAACCGGAGTTCACTAGAGATGGAGAGGACTGCTGGGGATTGTGTTTGTGTGTTTGGTCTAATCATCTATTGCTATAGAAAAGGCCAACCCGAAGCTTAGACGTATAAAATAACAATCATTTTTATGTTCACGGACTCTGTGGGTTGGGGATTTGAAGACACAGGAATCTGTGAGCTCTTCTCCACTCCATGATGCCTGGGCTTTTGCTAGGATGAATAGCTGCTGTGGGAGCTCAGATGGCTTCTTTTCTTGCATGTCCAGCACCTCGGCCGATGGCTGTGGATGGGCACCAGTGGCACTGTCAACAAGAGTGCCTGCACAGGGCTCCCCAGCATGGGGTTTCAGGTCGTGGGGCTTCTCACATGGTGGCTCCAAGAGCTAACGTCTCAGTCAGTCAGGCGAAGCGGCCTGGCCTCTATGACCTGGCCTTGGAATCGCAGTGCATCACTTCTGCCACCCTCCACTGACGGAAACGATCACAAGCCTCCCACTCAAGGAGAGGGAACAACCTACCTCTTGATGGGAAGAAGCATCAAAGAATTTGGGGGCAGTGTAAAACTGTCACAACACATCAGCAGGAGAGTAAATAATAAATGATAATAGAAGAAAATTTCCCAGAGCTGAAGAAATGCTTGAGTTTCAAACTCCTTTAAAAAGGACCCTAAGTGCCAAGTAGGAGAAAAAAAAAATAGATTAAAATCTGGACACATCTGGACGGTGTTTCAGATCACCGAAGGTAACTATTCCTAAAAACTTCCAGAAGGAAAAGTAATCTATTTGAAAGAAACAAGAATCAGAAGATGATATCAGACTTCTAATTGGTGACAACAAACAGAAGTATAAGAGCAAAATAAATCCATTTTCAGGTAGAGGAGAGCACAGAATGATTACCTCATCAAACTGTCTCTAAGGTTTCTAAAGGGATCACAAAAAACAAAAACAAAAAATGCAGAAGATACAGCACAGAAGAATCAGAGGGCAAAGAGACCAGAATTGCATTAATTTAAAAAATTAATACCAATCTTGGAACCCAAATCCCAAATAATTTGTTGGTTTCTTGTTCTGCCCTCTCAGGATAGTGGTGACAACAGGCTAAAATTGCTCCCCCAGGATCCCAAGAGAATCCAGGTTCAAGATTACTGATTTCTAGAGTTTCCAGCCAAGCAGTGGTATCTGAGGAGCCAACCAGCTAAGACTGGGAGGACGTACCCTTGCCCAGACACCCAACCCATGGCACCCAGCTTGAGTTCTGCTGGTCCACCTTCACTGCATAACTTCCCAAGTCAGCCTGGGTTTGGCCCTCTCCCTTCTAACATTCTCTCACACAAGATCCCACTCCCTCCTAAATTCTCACTGACCTGTGACACTTCTCCTAAACTTACCAACTTAGCCATTAAAGTATTTCCCTCCTTCTACCTAATAGATTCCCCCTCTGATCAACATGCTGACTCACATGAGTTAGGATTAGGTTCTACTCTGAGTAAAAGAAAACAACACACACACGTTGATTCCTCTTTGTGCAAATGCCATCTGCGGTGGTGGCTGATCGGGGACGGGGCATGCTACTACCCTCCACTGGTATGTGTCCAGGAGCCTGCTCTCTGAAGGCTATTCAAGCATTATCTCTAAGTCACAAGCCCACATTCTATACTCTGTTATATGCCTAGTCTGGAACCCTGGGAACTGTTTCCCAGGCTCCTTAGTCAGTCAGCCTCCTGCTGGGTTCTGCTGGTGGGAGGTACTAGATGGGGATTAGAAGGGGAAAGGGGGGAAAAGGGTCTTCCTTTTTTCCAATGCCAGCAGCAGCAGCCAGTTGGCTCGATTCTTCTGCACAGGCCTTATCCTGCCATTAGTACCATATTCCCTCCCCAGTGGGAATGTACCTCCCTTGCAAGTCCTGGTGACCGTCAGGGTCCCTCTTCTCAGAGGTTTTCAGCACCACCCTTAGGGCACTTCAAGCTCTGAGGTTCTGGTAACATCACCTCTTCCTTTTGTTCCTTCTGGGAGGCATCTGCTTCCTACACTGAATTTCTGGGACACCTCAGGGCACCTTTCTGCTCTCTCAGCCTTCCCCATCCCCCAGGAACCAATACCCCACATCAAACCCCCTTGGTTTGCAATACCTAGTGTGGCCTACGTTTCCAAACTAGATCCTGAATCATACTGTCTTCTCAGCCAGACTTAGCACTCCATGAAGGCAAGAATTGAACCTCTGCATCCTTTGACTACTGCCTAGTACATACTAGTTTATAATAAAGATTCATAGAAGTAATTAGTTAGCCTTTAGTCCATGATGGAACTAAAATTGGAAATCAAAATGAAGCATGATAAAACTTCGTAAAAAGTTTCCATGAAAGCATGGGGAAGCTTTCCATGCTGGCGAAGGGGTCCATGTGGTGTTGTTCTGTGGTCCCATCCTAACTTAAAGGGAAACTTTCATGCCCAGAGCCCTTGATGTTATGCAAATTAGGGAGGAGGATGTCCTCAAATTCCTTGCAGCAGAAACCCACTTTGCTGGCACCAACCTTGACCTCCAAATGGAACAGTACATCTACAGGAAAAGCAATGGCATCTACACCATAAATCTGGAGAACCTGGGAGAAACTTCTGCTGACAGCTTGTGCCATTGCTGGCCATCGAAAACATGGCTGATGTCAGTACCACAGCATCTAGGAACACTGGCCAGCGAACTGTGAAGTTTGCTGCCACCAGTGGAGCCACTCCCGTTGCCGGCCGCTTCCCTCCAGGAACCTCCACCAGCGAGCTCCCGGCAGCCTCTGGGTGCTGAGACTTCTGGTGGTCACCAGTCCCAGGACTGACCACCAGCATCTCAGAGAGGCGTCTTAGGTTAACCTGCCCACCAGTGCCTTGTGCACCACGGACCCTCCTCTGCACTGTGTGGACACTGCCATCCCGTGCAACAAGGGAGCTTACTCGGTGGGTCTGATGTGGTGGGTGCTGCCCCGGGATATTCTAAGCGTGTGGAGCACCATTTCCTGTGAACACTGTGGGAGGTCATGCCTGATCTCTACTTCTACAGACACCCTGAAGGACTGAAAAGGAAGAGCAGGCCGCGGCTGGAAAGGCTGTGACCAAGGAGGGATTTCAGAGCGAAAGGGCTGCTCCTGTCCCCAGGGTCACTGCTGCCCAGCCTGAGGTCGCAGACTGATCTGAAGGCATGCAGGCGCCCCCTGGGCTAGTTCAGCAGTTTGCCTCTGAAGACTGGTCCACAGCTCCTGCTGCTCAGGCCTCCGAGTAGGTAGGAACTACGACTGAGTGGTCGTAGGCTGTTCTTCCAGACTCTTCAACAAAAAAGGAAACAAGGCTGATGGAAAATAAAGTTTCCACAAGTTGTGTCTGTTTAAAAAAATTAAAAATTAAAAAAAGAACAACCATGGGAAAGATTATTTCAGTGCACATATGGATTGTCAATACTGTTGACAGAAATCAAGAAATGCCAGGATCTGTGCCAGCGGGGCCCGGTGCCTGTCTCCTTGGGGGCCACCCTTTGCCTGACGCCCCGCGGATACCAGGCTAACAATGATTGCTTCAGCGCTTCTATTGTATGTGTACAGTAGGCAAATGAACATAAAATCGAATGAACACACAGAACAAGGATAAACTGACCCAGCTTAACAAACCCAGTCTCTCACCTGCTGTGTCCTGCCTGAAACATGAAAAAAGAAATCACTGGATCATAAGGATTAGTAGAGCAACAGTCTCCATTAACAACAATGAAGGGAAGTATAGGGATAATTTGCTTGATGTGGAGACTAACAGCCTAACTGCTAGTCTAATTTTTAATACTGTCTCTTCTGCCAGTTTTTTCCTAGTCAGAAAATAAAAATAACCCGTGTATTTGCCTTGGAAGATATCAAAAGTTTGTAGTGCAAACAAACATTTTAATTTTGCTTTGTTTTGTTATCTGTCCCACTAGAAATGAAATATATGACTGAGTATTTTTCATCTTTTATGTAGTGAATATTATCGTTGTATAAAACATTATGGTTGTAAATTTTGATGTGGTAAGAGCAGAAACTCCAAAACTACTACTAATAATATTTAAAATGAAATCTGAGAGATTTTTCAATATTTAAAAATCTATGAAAACATTAGCTAGTTTCTTCTCATCACATAACCTGAATATTATTAAAGGTCTTTAGAATTTACCAATGAATAAATGTTTGTTAATCTCACTGCTGCAGCAGAGTCATACTATTGATGAAAGAAGTCTTATTTTGGAATTAGCACAAGGATGGGAATAGAAGATTTTTGTATACTAATTTGTGATAATTAAATATGGAAAATAAAGAAATTTCTTACACTGGTAAAAAAAAAAAAAAGTCAAATACTGGTCATGAAATTCTTACAACAAAGCTGCCCTTTTGATGTGCATATATTTATTTTAAAATTAATATTTAAGTATTATATATGGAAAAATGCATAAATCTTTTAAGTATACAGCTCAATGAATTCTCATTCCATATCCTTCAGGTTGGTGGCCAAATCACAGGTCCTTCTCCACCTTCATCTGACTCTTCTTACTCACTTTCCTTAATCCCCTCCACCAACAACCACTGTTATGGGTTCAACTGTGTTCCCCAAAAAAGCTATGTTGAAATCCTAATTCCCAGTATCTAGGATATGACTCTACTTGGAAACAGGGTTTATTTAGATCAAACCAAGTTACGATGAGGTCATGGGGGTGGCTAATTCAGTATGACTGGCGTCCTTATAAAAAGGGGACATTTGGAGATAGAGGAGGACAATGTGAAGACAGCCATGTGACAATGGAGTCAGAGCCCGGAGAACTGTATCTATGAGCCAAGGATGCCAAGGATACCAAGAATCTCCAGAAGCTAGGAAGAGGTGAGGAGGGAGTCTCCCCTAGAGCTATCAAAGGGAACACTGCCTTGATGCCCCAAGCTCAGACCTCCAGCCTCCAGAACTACAAGAGAACACATCTCTGTTGTTTACAGCCACTCAGTTTGTGGTACTTAGTTACATCAGCCCTAAGAAGCAAATACAAGCACTACCTGATGCAGCACATTTTCTACTTATTTCACCTGATTTCCCCACGAGATTTGTCCCTTTGGCTGTTATGTCTCAGTGCATAAAACAGTATGTGGCATACACTGGGCATGCAGTCATTACCTGTGATCCAGAGCAGACCCATACATGTTAGAAAACTTGACACGTACATGAGAGGGGAGAGAGGCAAGCCTATTTGTAGCCAGAAGTAACAGAAAACACGACTCACAGTAGTCTGAACAAATACAGATTTATTCTTTCCCATAAAAGCCCAGCGGTCAGCAGCCCAGGCTGGGGCAGCACCTCAGCAGATGTGCTAAGAACCTGCACTCAGCTCCAGTGTTCACTTCTGGCCCCATGGTCCCAGGAGGCCTCTCTGCACCTTCAGGTGTCACCTCCACACTGCAGCAGGAGGAGGGGGGCAGGCAAACGGCCACAGCAGCTGCTGTCTGGCAAGTCTTACTGGGGCCTCATCAGCAGACTGCTGCTCGCTCCTCAGCAGGTACAGCTCTCACAGGGCCACACTAACTGAGGAGCTGGGAGGGTGGCTGAGTTTAGCCTCCTGGCCAGGGAAGAGGAGGAAGGTGGGGGAGCAGTGTCAGGATGGGGCTGCATGGGCCAGCCACGTGC